AAAGGCGTTACGAAAACGGAAAGCTTAACCCCGCTGCAGTGGGGCAAACGCTCAAGAATAGGAACGAAAGGTATTGTATCTCAACTTCATAACCCGGGAACAAAGACAGCCGTACCTTCTTTGTCCGACTCTGGTATAGGAAGAATTCTTCAGGTCTACCTGGCAAAATGTACGTAACCAGCCATGTTGTCATATCTGAAGCCTAATACAATTATACAGTAGCGAAAGCATCAACACGATTATACAGTAAAAAGCAGAAGGGTAGCGGACCTAAACTCATAGAGATGCTCTGAATTGCACCGTACTGGAGCAGATACTGTAGGTCATTTCTGATCGTATCGTTGACGATGAATAGCTCCGGCTTGTGATAAACCTATAAATTCTGAACGTGTCTACTTTTCCCAAGGGGAACGCACCAGTCTGTTGTAGCTTCTCGCCTACCTCAATCACGGCCAGAACCGTCTTATCGTTCGGATGAAATATTATTCCTTCGGGAGAGATTTGAGCACGTTTAGCTGTGTACAGCACCTTTCTCTGATCCACGGCTTCGAATGGAAACATAACCAAAGATCCTGAATGATCACGTTCTACCCTTAAGCTTTTGATTTCATAGACCAGCTGAATAGCGATTTATACCGCACTGCGTGGCAACACTTGGTCGTTTAGCATTATAGTGGGCACGATAGAGTTCATTTCACTTATACTTTCTTTTTCTGGAATTTTCTAAACTTACGGTTTTTGTGTCTCGTATTTCAAAATTATGATAAAACGGTTGACTGGCAAATATCGTCGCGTACACCACGTAGAACCGTCGAGTAAAGAGTTTACCAAAGACAACATATCATCAAACTGAATATTCACCTCAACGCGACTTATATTTCATTTCACAGAATAGCAAATTGTTGAAAACATCACAGGGAGCGTATTCAGGTTCCAACTTTTTGATTTCTGGTTTTCTCATGAGCCAGACTGGTGCTCTATATGCTATATGCAGCTGCAGAACAAAGGTATTGGAGCGCGCTATTTTACGACCTGGAGCCAATTTCAAGCCAAACACTCGAAAAGTACCCCTCGCTTGAACACCCATAACTTCTTTGAGAGTAGAGCTTTTGGAGAGGGGAAAGCAGTAATATGGAGCACTAGGTTGGCTCTTGAGAAAACTGCTGCTGCTCTATATGCTCAGCCAGCTTTAATTACACGCGAATTGTATGCCCTCGCTCGACGCACCAAAGCAATGAGTTCATCACACACTGACCATGAGCTTCAACACTTAATATTTAGAAAAGAAGGGTAATTAAGGAAGTGGAGGTAACCTCGTATCTGTTCTAATCAATTGATATAATCGTTTGCCACCCTTCACCAATGTCAATATAACTTCTCTGTCCCTTACCAGTCATTTCCCCGTCAAAACCCCCATAGCCCCGTTGAAACCAACTTCCTGCTGTTACTATGACACGTGCCAAAGGCCAGGCAATGCTTAAGTTCTACCTCCCCTTATCAGTCATTGACACTTTCTCTCACGTATGTTCCCATTCCACATCCTACACCATATCTTGGGACCAAGGTGCACCGTTGTTGGACCGGAATTATGAAATTCATGACAAACAGAGATATGCTCTCAGGAGAATCGGTGTTGTTAGAGGATAAGGAGTGAGGCTTTCGGTGTTGACGAATCATTGGTTGAATGTGCTCTGCATTCCAGCTTAATAGAAATCCTTTGATTGAAGCCCTATTTATGCAGCGACTTCCACGGGTCAGTGAAGTACAAGTTACCTTTTTCGCCCTCACATATATGTCTAGTACCAATTTGCCGGCTCAAATGGGTAGGAGTGCTTGGCTGTTTCGAACAGAGGTCAATAGTGGTATGACCTCCGGTTCGACCATAATGAGCATGGAAACTTGCCATTATACTACCTCAGCATCATTGCTCGCTCTGGAATTTCTTTCATGAGGCAGTTTGGAGGTTGTCCCTTCTTAGCGAGCAATGACGTGGCTTAGCCATAATGTGAAATAGTCCACGTATGAAGGAGACCCAAAAAGGTAAAAACTGGCAAGAAAGACTGGTGTTCATGTGTTCATCTTCCCATCAACTTCCACGCTCATTTATTGGAACGCCTCTCCATCCCACTTGGGCCTATTGCCCGATAGTGACTCTTATTGGTGCGCTGAGATTATCAAACAAGGGTTCCTGGAAAAGATCATACCGAGATCGCTCTGCTCGTCACTCCACAGCCAGTACATGTTCCGATTGGACTTGTCAAAATCAACAGGCCTAAAATGTGATCTCTTTACGATTGCATACAGAGTATAATAAGGTCAACTTACTGGGTTATCGACGTGTCATCTGGTTTAACTTGCACATACTGTTCCCATCCGGCTTTGTCTGATGTCAATAATGAACTTTTCGCCTTACTTGAGGGCCTGAAAATGCTTCACCAACGAGATTCACTCTGCACTTTTTTTTGTTTTGCACAACCAAGCCCGCGAAGGTACTACTTGCGAAACCGTGTGGTAGTGGTTTGCACATGTGCTTCTATGCCCTTTTTGCACTACTGTACCCTTGCTCAAATGGGGAGCAGACCTTTTCGGAAGACATTAAAAAACTTACACGGAAACTGAGCAATGTATAGGGGGGGGGGGCAAAAAAAGTCACTTCGACCGAGTCACATATCAGCAAAGTTTTCGCTGCCCAGACAGAGGACGAGTACCAGGGCGGAAGATACCCAAGATGTTCCTCTATAAGCAGGAGCTGGCTCTCGCCCATCACCTTCATGTACACCAAAATATGAAGTCATCTCCAGTCGCAACCTGACTGGAGAAGACCTTCGGAATTCATGTCACCTCCAAACAGCTGCGAAACTTCTAGTATGGAGTCACCCATGGATAGCTACCTGGAGACCAGTACTCTCGATCTGGATGACCTCCAACATCGAGCAGCTCCGACAACGTCGCCACGGTCTAGGACATCATCTTCACCGCAGTCGCCAAGGCGCGGGTTGATGGTATGGACCGGACGTACCTGGAATGGAAAGACCAATATTTTCTTCGTGGACCCCGGACTGAAGGTGAGCGCTGGCGGTTACATTGAGCAACTCGTGAAGAATATCCTCCTCACATGTCGTCGCCCGTACCTTCTTGGAAACTTTGTACTGCTACAGCATTGGGTGCCACCACATGGAATCGAAGGGCGTTGGAGAAACTCTCGCCTACTTGGAATGGAAGGGGGCTGAGTACCTAAAGAAGATGGAATATCCAAGTAGGTCACCTGACCTGAATCCCTCAATTACCCGGTTCGGGCGGAGTTCAATAGGGTGGTCTACGGTGGCGGAGAAATCGACTATCTCGCTCAATAACCGCTCAATAACCATCTCCTTTTTGCCGACAATATCCTTCTGATAACATCAAACATTGAGCAAGCGGAGCGAACGCTGGCTGATTCCGACCATGGAGAAATCGGTTCGCAGCGAAATCTAAGGAAAACGATGTTCACAAGGAACGGATCGCTTTCTGATGCCTCATTCACGCTCACGGAACGACCATCTCTAGCTATGTGTACTGGGTCGTGAAATCAATATGATGAATGACTTAGCACCAGAGCTGAGCAGGAGGAAGCGAGCGGCTTGGGGAGCCTTCAAGAACATCGAGGGAGTAGCGAAGAAGACGAAGAACACCAAGCTCCGCGCCCACTTCTTCGATTCCGCTGCGGCTGGCCTTATTCAGCGCGCCATCGAAAGGGCGATGCTCGGAGTTTCCCGCTACACGCAAGTGAGAGAGGGAATCCGGAGCTCCGCACTCCGCCGACGATCGAAGATCAGAGACGCCGCCGCATTTGCCAAGGTTTCGAAGGTGGGCCGGGCACGTCATGCGTTTCGAAGACGACCGCTGGACCAGAGCGATTAATGACTGGATTCCGCGGGATCTCAAGCGAACACCAATGGTATGAAGTTTATCGTGTCCCTCGAGCAGAGAGAACCCATTGGGCAACTCTTGCACGTTGCAGGGACGAATGGAGACGTTACTGGCGCCCGCTCGAGGAACTCGATGATCAACGGGAGCACAGGTGAGGTGATAAGTGATAGGAAGGACCAAAGGCATATTATTAGGTTGTCCGGAAAGTTCACATTTCGAGTGTTTCACTTTAAACGATCATAACTTTCTTAACACTCATCGGATTTAATCCAAATAAGCACCATTCGAATCAGCACACTTTTGCCAATGTGACAGCAGTCGAGAAATCCCATCAAAAAAAAAACTGGGTGGTCGAGATTCACGAAATCCACGAAGGCTTTTTTGCCTGGTCCTGATTGATGAAGTATTTTCCAGCAAGGGAGTTCTGAAAATGTTTGAAAAGGTGATAGTCGGTTGGTGAAAGGTCTGGAGAATATGGCGGGTGAGGTAGAACTTCAACCCCCAATTCGTTCAATTTATGGATAGTGATTGAAACGTGTGGGCGGGCGTTGTCATGCAAAAGAATCGGACCCTTTCTTTTGATAAGTGTTGGCTGCAGCTGACAAAATTTTCGGTACATTTCGTCGATTTCTTCACAGTAGGGTTCTGCTGTGATGGTTTGGCCTGGTGATAAAAAGTTATAGTGGATCACACCAGCCGATGACCACCAAACCGTGACCAGAATCTTTTTTTCGTGAGGGTTCGGCTTTGAAAATTACCTCGGTGGTTAAATCCAACCACTGTCCGGAACGTCTCCTGTTATCATACATGATCCATTTTTCATCACAGGTGACAATTCGGTTCAAAAACGGGTCGTTTCTGTTGCGCAAAAGCAGTGAAGAAGAAACCTCGAGACGTGCCAATTTCTGCCGGTCACTCAAATTGTGGGGCACCCACTTGTCGAGTTTTTCACCTTCCTCAATGCGTTTCAGACCATCCGCAACAGTGGATTTGCCAACGCCTAGCTTTTCTGCAATCTCTCGAACTGTTTGGGATGGGTCAGCCTCCAAAATCCCCTAAAATCCTCGTCAGATATTGCTTTAGGTCGACCGCTATGAGGTTCATCTTCAAGGCTGAAATCTCCAGAACGAAATTTGTTGACCATTGCCGCACAGTGCTTTCTCTAGCACTATTGGGCCCCACACCTGGTTAATTTGTTGAGCTGTTTCGATTGCGGATTGCCCCAATTTATAGTCGAAGAAAAAAATCGTCCGAAGTGCTCTTTTCACATGCTTGAAAAAATCTTGAAAAAAGGGGTTCATCAAGCAATGGTGAAACGGCAGTTATACCATCAGATAGCGCAAACTCTTCAGGATGTACGACGCAAGGGAGAATGAGATTTCAATCAGCAATTGAATGTACAAAAAATAGTAACACAAACTATAAAAATACAAAAACAAAACAAAAAAAAACAAAAGAGAGAAAAGAATAAACAAAAAAAAGAACCAAAAAAGAACTCTCCGCACAACCTAATACAACAGTATAAATCCCCTGTCTTGGCTGTGAAGTTAGGATTATCTTATGCAGATGCACACAGACAAACAGGAAGCTAAACGCTGAAATCCGAGCAGAGGGATTCAGAAGTAAAAAGGTCATTAGAAAAGACTAAGTAATAGACTTGAAAGCACGGTAGATACTTTATTTCAGGAAGGAAAAATATCGTGTGGCCGTAGCGTCTCCTTGATGCCCTTATGAGTTCTCCAGAGAAGAAATGAGATCAACATGTGACAATTCCATGACTCGGTGAGTAATGTCGTTTGAGCGGCATTCAAAGTTAGCAGCGAAAAACAAATAAGACCAATTATGGTCACATTGTCGGTCGCAAAAGAGAAGCACGAGAATTGTGAGCCCATCCTTGAGAATGAGGAGACGTGAAGTCGACAATAAAGACAAGTGATGAAGCCAACCAATTAATAATTAACAAATATTCAAATAATAAATAATCAATAACCCTAGTAGCACTTGGTAGCCTGAGATGAATTTTTTAGGAAGAAGTCTCGTCTTATTGAGAATGTGTTTCGATTCGATTCGACTGTTGTCTCTAGACGAACCACTTTCTTCGTCTCACCCTGAGGCTTTTCAGTGACTAGGGAAAGACGATTAATTTAGTTTCTGAGCAATACGGTGCAGAAATAGAAGGATTTAAACATTTCAAAGGGCTATTGTGTGCAAAGCGAATACTATAATTAAGAGAATCACTAAAACCAGAATCACTCCCAAGAAAAACACAATATGCCAATGCAGACAAAGATAGAAAATAGGCCGAACCCCAATGTTGCCTACGTTCAATACCAAAGGGGAGTGGTACGTAACTGAAATTGAGCGCTAACCATATTTGTGTTAACAAAGCTCGCCATATGTAGTGAAAGGGAACTAAATACAGTGGCTACTTAGTAAAAAATTAGTGATCTGGAATATGCTGAAAATACCAAGCAGATCGCATAAGTAATTCTTGAGCAAACTATTAACCAAAAGCAAAATTTTCTTGTGCTCAATGTCAATACCATACTTATAGCATATGAACTTGCTTCTATAAATACATTAAACAACGCGAGTTAATATGAAATCACTTTCATATTCGTTGTCTCTCAGTGTTTCGATCATTTCACACCCTTTTGTGGTGAGTGATTCCATTAACGTACAAATTATCTGCCATATGCCTTTAAGTAGCATTTCCAATGCCCTCATGTCATTTATTCCCGATATGACAAAGATTCGTTTGGACGTTCCTTAGAAATTCCTTTTCTTACAGTGCCGCCAGTCACTTTCGAGTTCAAAGGCTTGCCATGCTTGCTGAAAGACCGTGCACGATTTCGCCGAATGAATCCACAACATATTCTCACATTCAGCACTGATCTGAATCAAAAGTTATTCGGCCGACTTCTCCATGCAACCTAGCCGCTTGGGAGAATCTGTAAAATCGGAGATCGCCACGTAAGGTCAGCCGCGTCTGCGCCTCAAAACGCAGTCCAGTGAACCTATGGCGAACTCACGTTGGTGAGCATATGTTGTTTCTATTCGTCCCGCTTTTCTTTCCGTTCTCTTAGCTTTCGTTTCTAGTTTCTCGTTCCTGGGCGGTTTCTTTTTGCCTCTCGCTTTTCCTTGTGAAGGTCCGATATCCAAAGTCAACTGATACCAAGAGGGGAGGAGGAGGAGTTTATCTGGGGCGTTATGGACTTTTTCTGATTCTCCCCTACACTGATTAGTCATGATTAATGAAGTCACTGCACCGCGTCAGCGGCGCGTGTCTTACAATTAGTGTGGCGCTAGCCCCATTCGCGCCACGTGTTGGACGCATAAGGTCCCAACGCCAATGGTCAATGGGAAACAGAATGGCGGCGCGCAGAATTCCCCAGGCTGCCCCCCCCCTTGCCTTATTGACAGCGGGGATAGTAAATAATTGCAGACCTTGCAACTTCTAACTCTAACTCCATAAGAACGGCTTGTGCTCCAGCACGAGTCTGTCTCCTCCCCTTCTCTTTCCTCTTTTGCTGTGCACAACTCTCGGAGAGGGGGGCACGAGCCCACTGAACGATTTCAACTGCTGAGCCAAAACTTTGCTTCTACGTCTTTGTAGAATGGGAAATCGCAATCATATCACCGAGCTGAAACTCAGTAAGACCACTTTTTTTTAAGTATTTCTGGCGG